CCCCCCCCCCTCGATCTCGCGGCGAGAGCACGAGCGCGCCGTCCTCCGGCGACGCGCCGCCACGCTCTTCCTTAGGTCGTCCTCCGAGATATCGGTGCCGGACCGGCGGGGCGGGGGCGGGGCGGCGTCGGAGCAAGTGTCTCGGCCGTCGGTCGACGGAGCGGCGACCCGCGAGCACGCTTCGTCGGCGCCCGACGAGGGTGGTGCCGCTGTCGCTCTGCCGCGTGCGCAGGCGTGCGCAGGCGTGCCGAGGTCTCGCGACGGCACTCAGCCCGAGCCCCTCCGGGCGCTCGATCGTATGCTCGTGGAGGCGTCGCGCGGCCGCAGTCTTCGCAGCGGCGGCCGCCGCTGCGGTGGATGCGGGCCAGAAAGAAGGCCGCGCGCGCGGCCAGGGGCCAGGGCTGGCTCTGGCTCGGGCGAGGGCGATCCCGGTTGTCCCTCCGCGGGCGCCTCTGGTCATGCCCGCTTGCTCGACGGCTGGGTTGTGCGTGCGCGCGACTCTCGAGTCGTCGGCGAGTAGTGTGCGCGGGCGGTGGGTGCCGTGGAGATTAGGGGAGACGTCGCTTTGAGCTGCGGGTAGCGGGACCGGGAGATGTTGGGAGATACAGACACGGCGGTACGGTGTCTGGAGTAACATCTCAGAGGTTGAGCAGCGCAGGGGGTGTGCACCTGCCCCCCCATCTCCGGTCCAACGAGTAGAAACATGTTTCCAAAAAGCAGCTACGCCCCGACACGACGACGAGACTCACTCCCCTGGTGTCGCACACGCTCCCCGACACTCGCAGCAAGCAGCAAGGATCGGGCGGGAGAGGAATTAGCTCAGAGAGACACGCACTCACACTCACACACACACACACACACACACACACACACACAGAGAGAGAGAGAGAGAGAGAGAGAGAGAGAGAGAGAGAGCGAGCGAGCGAGCGAGACCGAGAGAGCGAGCGAGCGAGAGAGAGAGCGAGAGTACAGTACAGTGATCAACAGAGACCCCCACCCACACGCCGCGCAGTGTGGGAAGCGACGACGAGACTCACTCCTCGCACTCGCAGCACGGATCCAACGGGAGGAACGAGGGGCCGCCCAGGCAGCCCCCGGGGCACGCGCAGCCGTTACGGTGCGCGTCCTGCCCGCCGCCCGGCATCGGCGCATCCTCCGCCGCCGCCGGGGCCGGCGGCTCGCCCGGGATTGGCGCGTCCGTCATCGGCGCGCCCGGCATCGGCGCGCCCGGTGGCGCGCCCGGCATCGGCGCATCGTCCGCCGCGGACCGCGGCGGCCCATGCGCCCCACAGTAGGGCACGGCCACGCCGGGTGTCGCCCGCAGGAACGCGGCAAAGGAGTCGTGGTCGAACGTGCCCTCCATGATGGCGAGCCGCGTCGCCGCGTGGGGCGGGCGGTCGACGGCGTCGACGACGACGACGCCCCACGCGTGCTTGACGGCGTCAGCCTGCTCGAGCCCGCGCAGCCACTCCGCCGCGTCCTTCGCGGTGCACTCGTTGTACGACGACGTGCGGGCGGCGAGCATGCGCCGCATCGCCAAATAGTCGCAGTCGCTGCAGCCGGCGCGCTGCACCACGGGCGGCAGCGTGTAGCGCGTCACGGCTGGGAGGTGCAGCGCCGGGAAGCAGAGGGCGTCGCTGCACGCCGGGCAAAGGGCCAGGTGGCGGAGCGCGAGCCCCGCGCGAGTGCGCCGCGAGTGCGCGAGAGCCGCCGCTAGGCGGCGGTAGCTCTCATAGAGAGCGCCTGCGGGCTGCTGCTCGCGCAGCGCCACCTCGAACGCGAACTTGGCGTCCGCGACGAGCTGCGGCGCGTGCGGCGCCTCGCCGTGCGCCTCTGCGTCCGCCTCGCGCAGCGTCAGCGCGACGCCGCGCCGCGCGCCGAGCAGCCGCGCGCGCGTCAGCCAATGCGACGGCCAGCTCTGCGGCAGCAGCAGCTCCTGCCCATCGGTGCCGCACCAGGGCTGCTGCTTGAGCTTTGGGTCGGCGCGCCATTGCGGCGGCTTGGGGAGGCACTGGCGGTACCACAGTAGCAAACGCGCGTCGAGCTGTTGCGTGGACAGCGAGTCCGGGTCGCACGAGAAGGCGTTCGGGTCAGCGTACGGGCCCTCCATCGCAGCGAGCTCGTAGTGCATTTCAGCGCCCATGCTCGGCGGCCTGTGATCGCCGCCGTACGTCTGCAGGAGCCGCCGCACCTCGCGGACGATGGTCCTGTTGAAGGCGATGGTGATGTTGTCCTTCTCGACCGCCTCCGTCGCCTCCCCCTCGCCCAGCGGCTTGTCCGCCGTTTGGTACGCGTCCTTCGTCTCGACGGTGCCTCCGTCGGCCGCGTCGAGAACGCCCAGCAAGGCATCAGTGGCGATGGAGAGCGTGCGCGCCGACGCCTCGCGAGACTCCTCCCCCTCCCCCTCCTCCTCGCCGTCCTTCAGCTGCTCGAACAGCCGTGCAGCGGTCTTTTCTGCCTGGGATCGCCGCACCGCGTTCAGCTCCTCCTCAGCCGCCGCGCCCTCCGAGGCCTCCGCCGCCGCCGCGGCGGCGGCGGCGGGCGACGGCGTCGCGGTGGCGGCGGCGGCAGCCGCAGCCTTGCTCTCCGCCCGCTTCGCCGCCTCCCGCAGCCTCTTGTGGCGCGTGGCGCGCGCGGTTTTGGCTTGCCCGGGTCGCTTGGGGTCAAACTCGATGGTCTCGATGCCCCAGTGGTGACGCGCGTAGGCCTCGCCGAGCGCGCGTACGACCCTTGCCCACAGCTTGCACTCCGCCTGGACGTCGCCCTGGAAGTGTGGCACCCTGTGCCACGGCCGCTCCGGCTTGTCCTTCTCGAGCTCCCGGTCGTAATCCTCGTGGCGCGCGGCAAGGACGGCGCGCCAGCGCTGCTCCGTCTGCGCAGGCCGGGGCCGCTCGACCATGAGCGCGTCCATCTCGACGTCCGCGTTCTCCTTCTCGCCGCCGGCGCCGGCGAGTGGCTTGCGCCAGCGCCGGCGGCCGGACGCCGCCGCCGGCGCAGGTGCGGGCGGAGTCGCGCGCCCCGTCTCGTTGTCGGGCGACTCCTCGCCGCCGGCGGCGTCGGGTGCGGCGACGTCGGCCTGCGAGTCGCGAGGGCGGCCTGCACCGGCGGCGGTCCGCAACGTCTCGCGGCGCGCCGCCAGCCACGCCGTGAACTCATGGGCGATGTCGCTGTCGTCGGGCGGCTGGTACAAGCTCGGCTGGATGTGGTCCATGAAGGCCTCCATCTCGGCCGCGGTCACGTCGTCGGGCGCGTCGACGGGCTGCAAGGCCGTGGACCGCACGGCGGGGCGGCTGCGCCAGGACTGGCGCGTCGCTGACGACGAGCCGAAGCAAAAAGGGCTGCACGACGGCAAGCCCGGCTGCATTCTCGCGCCGGGACGGCGATCCTGGTCGAGCACGAGACGCCGCCTGCTTTTGCCGTCGTTTCTTTTCTTGATTCCGGTTGCAAACGGAATCAGTTGCAAAACCCTGAATAAAAAAACAAAACGCGAAAAATCCCTTTGCAGCCAAGCCTACAGGGCACCTAATAGGATCGTCGCCTAGAGAGCCCTATAGGTGCGCGAGCTGAGGTAGTCACCCTCTTTGTGTGCTTGCTAAGGCACAGCCCGGTTCTTTCTTAGCCACCTCGATGTGTACTTTCGACCTTAACGCCCGGTTCTTAGCCAGCTCGATCGACGTTGCCGTCACGTTGGTCTTGGCCACGGTTCGCATCTATCTACGGTGACCGTCTCATTGGCGTCGGCGATCGCGGTGAAGTCGGGGTGGGGACAGACGTGGATCGTGGTTCAAGACGACGCTCCCCCGGATCGCCTCGCATGCGGCAGCGTCGCCCGCCAGGTGTTTCCACCGCGCCTCGGCCTCGGCGCCGCTGCCGAGGACGCGACCCACCACCGCGGATGTGCTTTCGTCGTCGTGCAGGAGGCCGAAGGCGCCGCGCCGCGGCGAGAGGGTTTCCGGTTCCGTGTAGTCCGCCGGAGGGAGGAGGCCGTGGAGAGCAAAGGGCGTCCTGGTTCGCGGAGGGCCTCGTCTCATGAGGTTTGAGCGACGCGCCCCAGCTCTGTGTGTTCTGTGTTGTTCTCTGTTCACAGCCTTGTTATTGAGAAGAAAATACGTCCTATGGCGCTGTGCGCTGGTCTGTGAGAGGTTCACAGAAAAACACAACCCCGGACCCAAGACGCACAAGCACAGACAGTCGAGAAGGTTCTCTGTTCACAGCCTTGTTAGGAGAAGAAAATACGTCCTCTGGCGCTGTGCGCTGGTCTGTTCTCACAGTCCTGGTTTGAGAGTGTGTATTCGCAATCCTACACCAAAACATGTTCTAGGACTTAGAGCAGCTAAGTGAGCAGCTCCGCTCCCAAGGTGACTGGTGACGCCTACGACTACTACCAGCGCGCTCGCAATCCGAGCAAAGTCTAGGGTTGCGAGCACGCCACGGCTCACAATCCTAGCAACATGCCTCCGATTGCGAGCAGTAGAGCTTCTAGCGCTCGCAATCCTACATCTTGTAGGACTATGCGGCTGCGCACACAATCATACCAAACAAAGATCCAAGGATTGCTAGCAGGCGCACAGAGGGGCCGGAGAGGGCTCACTGTTTGGATTGGAGCAGGCGCACATCGCTTCCAGGGGGGGGGGCGCCCTTATACTCCCGAGGCCCCCCGCGGCGACAAATACATCGAGCTCTCTGCATTTGTCGCCGCATACCTGCTCGAGTCTGCTGGCGTACGTGCACTCGGCCACCGGTTTCGCCTCGATCCGCTTGTCGGTGCGCCGAATGTGCATCGCGGCGAAGCGTCCGCCGGCCCAGGGTAGACCCCGGAGGTGCACCGCGTGAATGCGCTCCTCGACGTCGGGCTGCACGCGCAGCACGAGGCGGGCAATCATGCGCCAGGCTTGCAGCTGCGAGGAGTTGCAGCTGGGTGCGGCCACGCCGAGTACCGTTGCAGCCGTGTGGCACGCTCGCACCACCTCCTCCTCTCCCACCTCATAATAGTTGTGCAACGGCCACCTGTCGAACTCCACGCGGACTATCTGCCCGCAGTTGCTCAGCGGCTGAAAGAAGCAATGCGGGCTATAGGCGGCGTCTTCCGCCGCGCAAACGAGTTGCGACGGCTGAAAGCCGAGCCCGTTGATCATGGCGTATGGCGCAGCGAGGAGCATACGGTTGACAAGCGAGCCCCA